AACTCACGCACACAAGAAAGAGCATGTTTGGTAATATCGCTTTTCACGAGCGACGATGCCCTTGATAGGAGACGCTAGGGGGGTTAGGCCACCTATCACGAACGTCCTTTATCACGCAATGTGGCATAACCTCTCTAACGTCGTCCATAAGGCAACCCAATCGTTGTTTCTTCTCCAGATACGTTGGGTTGTCCCAATGCCCGTTGTCCTTCAGGGTCTTCCAGTACCACTTGTAGTCTTTTCGCCTTTTTGCATGATTTGTTATACGCGCATCGCACTATCCGTTTGGTTTGAAATCAGAAGATGTGATGCACGGAGCTCGCAGACAGAAGTCACAGGCTGACTCTGAAACTTTTGGCGGCGCGGCTACGCCGGACTCATTGTTGTCGACGGCTTCGTCGTTTCTTTGAGGAAAAAGTCGAACAGGTGATGGCCGTAGTGGTTCTTCAAACAGTGGTACGGCAAAGCGCTTCCTCGCTGCAAAAAAAAAACAAACAAACAAAAACATATTTTAGAATAAAAATTCGGACAGAAGTGAACAGGGGCAACTCAAGGGTACGGTACGATGAGTCATGCACACAACTTGTTGAGATAATTCCATATTGTTACAGAGAAATTAACTCACATGAATGGAATTGTTCAAGTTTGCGTATCCTAGAATTATCCACTTGATCATATGTAGTTTATGTGATACATGTCAGTGTAACAAATCTATGACAACTGGAGACCATATCATAATAGCCAAATCTTTGGGAAACTAAACCCAAAATTTCGATTTTGTTCCCTCATCAGCAACATTTCGCGTTGCTATTCCCCCGAGCAGAAATTCCCACTACTCTAATAAAAGTACATCAACGGATACAAATCCACCTTGAACGCTTTAGGTATCGCCGGAAACAGAATGATGTAACCTTCGACACCGGGAAATCAAGTTCCATTTGTTTATCACTAAGAAAAAGTGCGCAATTCGCAAACTTTTGCTCTCAAAACGGTCAAATTATTCTCAAACAGTTTTTCTGCTTGTGTCGCTGGCTGAAGTCTTTCCTGCAATCGAGTTGGCAATCTTTTTCGAGAAGCCGAGTTTATGAAGGAGAGATCAGTTGTAAATGGAACGTTCGAACTATAGTTTACTAACCGTTTCCACTTTGGATGCGTCGTACGGACACAACTTCGCAGGCCACCTCTGGAATTTCTTGAAGGAGACGAATAACCTCATCCTTTTTGCTTTCGTCAATCTCGAGAGNTTTCCACTTTGGATGCGTCGTACGGACACAACTTCGCAGGCCACCTCTGGAATTTCTTGAAGGAGACGAATAACCTCATCCTTTTTGCTTTCGTCAATCTCGAGAGTCACGTACGAATGAAGGCAACAAAAACACTTGTGAAATACAGCTGTAGAGGCTAACAAACGATACAGTGAGAATCGATGTAACAGAAAGAAATATGTAATTACCCGCACGCGTTTTCCATTGGCATTGTCAGCTCCACCTAACATTGTACAAACTCTTTGCACGCGTCAGATATTTCAGATTTGAAAAAAATAGTTTTGGAATGACGGCCTTTATTAGTCTTTGTAAGCACTGTGCGCAGTCATAGCAGATATAAGAGACCTATGCGTATCGCGCGACCCGGAGATGTTGACAGCTCCGTGTCTAGAGTGAAATGACTGACTACTCGCTCAGTCCAAGGCTCCTTATATAGCGCGGGCCCTGGTATAAGAAAACCCAGATTTGGTTCCGTTTTGTCGCAACACATAAGCTTTTGTAAGTCTCTATATTTCACCAAGCTAAAGAAAATAAAAATTTAGTCAAGCACGACTAATTTCTCGGCTTGTGGTGTTGTTCATATTTTTCGGTTGTACTTTCTTGGTCCGATTTAAAATGCAAATTGTTACGTCACAATTGTGATCCAATTGTCACGAAAGTGCGGAGGGGCTACTCTGCATTGCAAATGTATTTTTGAGTGGCGTTAAAATTATTATTCGCGAACTGACGCCTCAGTTGCGAGCTTGTGATCTCAGAAAGTAAAGCATCTATTCCAGGAAACGACAGCCCTAACTCCTCCTCGAGACAAAATGGTGAGCATAAATACATCAAAACAATTTATTTTTATACGTTGAAACGTCTTTAGGCGAATTTTGCTGCCAGTTATAGTATTTATGCCTAGAACTTGAAACAACGAGTATGAACGAATTGGAAACACTGCTTCAAATTTCTGCTACTAGCCTACTGTCTTCGATTATTGAGCTCTCTACCTAAATTTGCGACTTGACACAATATCTTTAAAAGCTTTTCTTGACAGCTTTTGCGTCTTTCGTCGAAGAAAGTACAAGAAATATTGTTTGGTAACGCTCTGATGATACTACTTGTTTTTATCAAAATATGGAATTACGAGCATTATCGTAGTGAAATTTGAACAAGGTTCTGTTCGTTTATGAATTTTGTTCCTTGAAATAACTGCTAAAGGGTACAAATAGGAACCTGTGGAATTTTTT